TATATAGTATGTTTAGTTTATGAGTAAATATATATTTAATGTTCTTAATGTAGGTAGATCACTTTAGCCTGCTCTAAATAATCATGTGACTCATAATTGCTGATAATTCCTGTAAATATTTATAACTTTTTATTAATAACAAGAAATTTCCTCAATGCTCATGTTTAGGAGGAGTTAGTGGAGGTGTGTTTTTGCTGTGTCTCCTCCTAACTGGCCATGGGCTATATGTTCATTTTGAACTTACACAATCACAAGACTAGTCAAAATCATTAAAAAAAACTCTTACTTCATTATTACTGGATACTGCTTGTAGTAGTAGGTAATGCTGTAAAATGTGGTGAATAATTAGTAGGGATGTAATAATAGACTCAACTCATGATACAATGTTTACGATTTGTTTAAACAAATGAGCTCTAGACAAATTGTGACCAAATACAAAGATCATTTATTTGTACTATACTAAATATTATTACTATCTAAAATGGTCTTCTATACCTCATAAACTGAAGAGTATGGACACAAGGTTTTAAACTTAAATCCACTTGTTTATCTGTCTGTTTGTTTGTCTTCTTCAGGTGTCAGATTCTGGTGAGAATGGACCTTTCAGTCAGCTTACACAGGAAGAGTTGATCACTCTGGTGGTGAAGCAGCAGACAGATCTGTCTAGGAAGGACGCCAAAATCATGGAGTTGGAGGAGTACATCGACAAACTGCTGCTTCGAGTGATAGAGGAGAAACCCAGCATTCTACAGGCCTTAAACTCCGTCAAACCTGTTTAAGGTTCTAACTTTTATTTCTAACGTTTTATTTTCTCTGTGTGAGTCTATGAATCTGTGAGACAGAATTAACAAAGGTCTTAGAGCATTCGCACTTTTTTTTTTGTGAGTTCCAGAGTCAAACTTCTTTCAGAACACTGGAGAAAAACTCTGTACTAATAATGTATCTGTTATTATCATAACAAGCAGAAATATTTATGTAAGCAGATTAATGCATTTGTCTTCACATTAAGGTACTGGAGTTTACTTAATAACTTGGGTCTCTTGTTTTAAATATATATATATATGGAACTTGAGATTAAACTATATATACTCTGGAATATTTATACTTCTGCAGATAAATCTATTTTTCTTGATTATTACTTTCCCCTTTTGTTGTGATTTTCTATTGGTTTCTAACCTTTACATTGGTTTTTTAATTTATTAGCATGGATGCTTGACTGCTTCACACACACACTCACACACATTTATTGTTTCAGTGGATGGTTCAGCTTACAAGCAGCGACCACATGACTCAGAAGACTGTTCAGGTTATTTATAAACAGGAGCACTTTGTCTTTTCCTCCACCATCGATGTCTTATATTCTATAGTCCAGATACTGTTGTGCCTGTGCAGGGTTTCATTTAAAAAATACCAATGGATATGATTAAAGAACAAACCACCACAACGATCTGTACATATTAATTCAAAGTCTTCGCAGTAAACTAAATTCAAAATCATGCTTTTCTGGTTTTGACACCCATGCTTTCATGCGCCAAGAAAATTAAAAAAAATGTGTGTTTTTACTTCTTTATTGAGGATCATTTTTAATTAATGATTTCAAACATTTTTAAAATCAACAAAATCACAATTGTTTTAACCAGATCCTTCGTGACATAAAAACATCTATTGCCGTCCCAGCTATTGTTGTGTTGTTACATGATAAAATATGCAATATATACTCAGAGATTTCTATTGTGAATGAAATATTACAAAATCATCAAACAAATCCGAGAAACAGTGAAAGCCCCAGTAATAACCAGCCCTGTTTTTTTAATAAATTGAAACTACACTACTGAACACAAAAGCCTGCACGTCTGCCTTATGGTTTATATGAATCTCCTGTGTCCTGTTGGAAAATTTAGCAATATTGTACAGAAAGTACAAATCTGTGCCTTTTTTCATGATGTATTTCTTTGGAATGGAAACTGAACTTTGCATGTAGAATAAACAACCTGATGTATTTGAGGTCTGTCTCTCAAACTGATTTTCACTGTAAAACCTATGAAATGAGGGAAACACAGCACAAATTTAAGTTAAAATTTAAAATAAAATGTTTCACCACAGTTCATTGTCGTTTTTTTTTAAGGAAATATATAGGTGTTGAGTTTTATAATAAATTATTTATAGGCCTTAAAAACATCCATTTTGTTAAATATAAAAATAACATTTGTGGGCATAATTTAAAATAATCTATCAATGACAGTAATATCTTTTCCTAAAAAGAGATTTTTTTTGAGCTGCTTATTTACTATTTACAGACAAAACTGTGGCTAAATCTACATTTGCAACGCTCAGAAATGAGATAAAGCAGAAGGCGTTGACAGTTCAATTTAACTGGAGGTGACTTCAGGTCACTGAGTGAGATCAGTGAATAAACACTTATTTTTTTAATCAATAACAATATTGTCAGCAAAAAATATAACTTGGCTCATAAATATGACAATATTTATAAATTAATAGCAATATCAATAAATTAATTGAATGAAATTAAAAATAACAAGGCATAATGGTACTGTGTTCGCCATGACTGTCAGTGTATTACTTTGCACCCCTGCAGGGGGCAATGTAACAGCATGATTGCTGGGCCCTCGGTACCTCAGTTCTTTACTGCACAAATGTGACATTAAATAAATACAATTTCTTCACAAAACCACACCGGCTGTGGCGCAGTTGTTCCCTGAGATTCCGATGCGGCGACGACATGTGAACATTTTGCGCAGCTCGGCGCGGAATCGATCGTGCAACCAAGCATATAGAAATGGGTTGCAGCAGGAAGAGCTCATGGCGCACAGGTGACAGAGGAGCTGAATGAGAAGAAAGTATCGCTTGTCGATCAGGTGGATGTCAATGTCTCTCAGGACGTTGAAGACACTAATGGGCATCCAACAAATGCCAAACGCTGCCACCACCAGGCTCACCAGGCGAAAGGTCTTGCGTTTGCGCATGCGCTGGGCCTCCGCTTGACTTTGAGTGTGGTGTCCTGGTACGACGCAATTGCGAAGTTTGACGGAAATGCACAGGTATGAGATGCACAGCGCAGACAGTGGAAGGACGTACGTGATCAACAGTGTGCTGTAGGCGTAAGCTAGCCGCTGCTGCTCCTGTCCCATCCAGAACTCCTCACAGATGGTGAAGCCCTCGTTCTTAAACTCCACGTGGTAGGTGTGGGCCACCGCTGGAGCCACCAGGCTGCAGGAGAGCAGCCAGATCCCAGACAGAAGGTAGGTGCAAGCCTGGACGGAGAGACGCTTTTTCAGAGGGTGAACCGTAGCATAGTATCTGAGGATTGACGGAGAACGTGGATTAGATTTAATTCGAACTAAGGATGTCCGATAATATCGGCCGATATTAGTATAATTTTGTAATATTTGCTCACACACCTGGTGTGTGTGGGTGTGTGTGAAAAAAAAAAAAACTCTGTGCCCCACGGGGGTGGAAGGTTTAGCCCATCACCTTAGTGAGCAGGCAGCACTTTAGTTCCCTAACCACCAGGCCACCACTGCCCCACTATATCGGATGTTTATAGCTCAACAAGTATTACTTTCAGAACAAATTATTTGGATCTTTTTTAGGACTCATGCTGGTCTTGCAGCAAAAAACTGAATTAGATCTGAACAATAGTGAAAAGTTTGAAAACCAGTTACAGAACATTTGTTGAAAGTGCAGCCATGAAAGGCAGTTTTACACAGAGGTTTAAAAAAGTCCTAAATTCAGCCAATTTAATTCCACTTGTGGAAGACAATTCAGCAGGTTTTCACTAAGAGATGTTTATCTGCTTTATCTGCAGTGTAAAAGTTGATAAATCATCATTCAATAACAACATTCGATTGTACAGAAAAACAATGTAAATGATAGATGGTTCAGATGTTGTTGTAATGCAACGCACTAGACCGGGGTCCGATCACCCTATGTTTTTTCCCCAAACCTACCTGCGCTCTTGAATTGAAGCATCAATAGGTGACTGAATAAGAACAGAAGACATCACTGTGCAAACTTTTTAATGCCTCAGTTCCTGGAATGTCAGTGCTGGATCATCATCATCATCATCATCTTCACCAGTTTGACCTTTGACCTCTGGAATATGTTCCACCAAGAAAACTGAGACAAAATGTGTTCTGCTAATAGTTTTGTGTGTTGTGGTTCCTTTTGACCTTGTAACAGGTGGCTATTTATGTCAGTGTAGTGGACACGCATGGTTTGTAGTGTAAAGTGTGGACACTTAGAGGTACAAACAGAGATGCTGTGGTGTGTGTGTGTGTGCGTGTGTGTGTGCATGCATGCATGTGCGCGCCTGTGTGTGTGTTTAGCGTTTGAGGTCAAATTCTGTCTTCGATGAAGGGGATGACAGTGTGTAGTTGTTAGTGCAGTGACTGTGTACAGACAAAAAGCAACATTTATATACAGATCCTTTCCAAAAAAATTGAATATCGTGAAAAAGTTGTATAATTTCCATAATTCCATTCAGAAAGTTAAACTTTCATATATTCATGGGCCACAATTTAATCAATTTCAGGTATTTATTTGTTTATTTTTTACATAATTTTGGCTTCCAGCTCATAAAACCCACAAAAACAGGATTTCAATAAATTAGAATACTGTAAAGAAATCACCAGGGCATGAATGTTTTAAACTGAGTGTCACACACCAAT